TGATGAAAGAAACTCTTTTTACTGGCATATATTTAATGGTATTAAATTTCCTATAATCGATGAAGTGGTTAAGCCTACTAGAACAATTTGGAAATCGGCATGCATGATTTGTAAGTGTAGAACTTTTAATCCAATGGTTGATTTTTGAAAATATTAATTAAAAGCCAAGTTTTTATACAAGTCCTCCAAAAAAAATTTAGGAGGATGACTTGCAAAATACCTTTATATATATATATGTGAGAAGAAATCCATTTACACATAAATTTTGCAGAACGCATTTATACAAGATTTTTACCATTCATCTTTTCACTTATGGTGGTTAAGATTTATTACAAATTTTTAGGTAAAAAAAGATAAATGTCTTTAATAAATATGATAAAAAAAATCTTAATTGTTAAAAGTGGAGAGATAAATGGTCAAAATTTTGTGTAAGTGTAGTGTGTAAGTGGATCCCTCCTTTTTATATGTATAGATATACACACACGCACAATGCATAAAGAGAAATTCAGGTGTGTTGCAAACTTGCTATTCTTATCTACTACCCTTTATGCGAATCTTTTCAACTGTCTTAAATTTCAGAAGGATGGAACAAACGAATCCTTTGACGCTGGAATGCTGACAGGTTATTTGGCGGGTATGGATATATTTTTGACATTCTTCTAATTATGGAATATTATTGTTTTAACTTTGTCCTTAACCTGCAGGATCCTCAAATGTTGCCTCCAATAATGAGGGAGAATTGCAGTCCAGCTCTACTTGGACTATGCCATTGACTGCGGGTGCCATGAATTGTACTGGTACTGGAGTTAGTGAGTTATTTTAGTAATGAATTTGCTCTGTCTTAATTAATATTTTTTGGGTATATCTGGAGTTAGTAACTTGGTATTACAGTGGTTTAAACCTGTGAACTTAATCTCAAATACAAGATTAGGTTAATAGGTCAAGTCAGTCAAATTCTAGCTTGTTGATTTTTGTCTTAATTAATTGTAGTGGGCTCAGTCTTGAATCTAACAGGAATAGGCACCCCATCTGAGCCACCAATATCGGGGAGAGAGGAAGAACTAGCTGAAGTCCGAAGGGGCAAAATGCCTGCAACTGTTGACAATTGTGCTCCACCTCTTTTGCCAATCAGTGGTTCTCAATCTAGTAAGTTTATGGCTAGCGCTAGCCAGACTGCATGTCAATCAGCCTTTGCGGATGATGGCAATTGGAAAATGGCACAATATGCACCAAAGCAGCACGTAAGTATATCGAAATATATATATATATATATATATATGTATATATATATATATAGGATAATGTGAGGGAGGTGGGTTGTCCTTCTAAAACGTTTTTCGGAGGGCCTATCTAAAAATCCACGTTCTAATTAATATTTTCAAAAACCACCTGTCAGATTAAAAGTTCTATTTATGTAGATTATGTATATAAATTTTTATATTAATCTAACACTTATAACCCTTTGATGAAAGAAACTCTTTTTACTGGCATATATTTAATGTAGTTTCTTATGGGACATGTCAAATGGATGATGCATGTTTTATGTTTATGTTGTCTTATCATAGCTTTGGATCAGAGTGTAGCGCACAGGAAAAGCTTAGCACAAGAATAACAGTAATTATATAAGCTAAAGCATGAGTTTGTAATCACACATAGCTATTAATATAGGTTTGTAAGTTCTTGAAAGAGAACACAGTCTAGTTAAGCTAGCTTGTACATGACTGAAATAGCTAATAATTTTCAGCATCAAAGGTTTAACAAAAGACTGTATGTAGCTGCCAGAAAGTAGAGGAGCATAAGTGTTTACAAACAAATATAGTAAAGCTTAATTGGATACAAAAGGCTTACAAAATAATGAACTAAAGTCTAGTTAATTAGGCATAAACAGAAATTAAAACCTGACATGTTGTACATCAACAAAATAAGTTTTACTGCATTTTATAATTAGTTATAGCATGCAGGATTAGTGCAAACATAAACACCAAAAACAATCAATAAGTATAAACTAAATGGCTAAGGAGTCCGCTGTCCACTAGTGTGCGCGTGTATTCACACTCTTGTATTCAAGTTAGTCTCAGTACATCGCTACTGCATGCGTAGAGGTCCACTATTTTCATTAGATCCATTACCTGTTAAACCAAAACATAACCCTCACCTACATATATACAAGATCATGTATAACACAATCTGTTTGTAAATTAAATCATCATTAGAAGCATATAAATATATATGTCTCATTCAGCTTACATTGAATTTCTCTTAAGTTAGTCTTTGGACTTTGGCTGATGACCATAAAAGAAGTGGTGTGGGAGCTACTTTAGGGATGGTAGTATGGTTTTTCTATCATGTTAGCATATGATCTGAGTATGTGTATACAGAATATGTGGTAGGTGTTTGGCTATGGGGCTGGTTTAAGTGGAATCTCCATATTCACATGGACCTGGAGTTTCAAACTTCTCCCTGTTTCTTCCCTATATGGTTTTCAAGTCTTTTTTGTTTGTCTATCTCATTTCAAGGATGTGGATTGCCACCATGGTGCAGTAATCCCTCCATAGTTAATCTCCTATTTGTCCTCTCTGCTTTAGAATTTCAACCCAAGTGAAGGATGAGGTAGTGAAATACAAGCTTAAAGGAAACTCCCATGACTAGGTGATG